AGGCTGTGAGTTCCCTCTCTCCAGGCTTAGACCTGTTACCAGAAAGAGTCACCAGTTGCCATGCCAAAACAGACCCAGAGCCTCTATGTGTGACCCTACGTTCAGCTCTGTCTTGATGGAGAATCAGCTGCCTGCCCCGACCTCTCTCCGTGCCAGCAAAGCGAGTTCTGCAGGGAGCTTAGGACAGAGCCTGGCAGAGAGCAAGAGGTGTCCAGAAAGCAGGTGAGGGAGCCGATCATTCCCCGTCGTGAAGCAGGGTCTGTGCTAGAAGGTAAATTGTAATAAATTATGCTGAGTCCCTGGTTATTCCCATCTCGCCCTATGATTAATGGGTTGACCCTCCTATCAGGCGGTGGAAATGTCACAGCCCATCTGGTGGGCTGTCACAGCTGTGCCTTTCTCTCCTCCGGATCAGCTGCTGCTGCATGCCTGTCTATCGAGGGGAAGCAACCTGCAACCTCGTAGGATGCTAGGCTCTCCAGACCACCGCAGTGCTAGCTTGGATGGGGGGAGGAAGGCCTGGGGGGGTCTGAGTGGGCAGCGGTAGAAGCTGCGGGGAGAGCGCTCTGTGAGAGCCACCCGTTTACAGGACAGACGGACGCATGAGCAGGGCATTTGGAGCAAAGGAGATGCCCAGGCCCTAAACACAGGGCATGTGGGCTGTTTGGAAAGGGTTTTAGTGACGTGCTGGGAGCAAGGGGGCTGGGAGTCCGGAGATCACAGTTGTGGGCCAGAAGCCTCCGCTGATGGGCTGGGGCGAGCCCTCGAATCTGTGTTGGACCCAATGCAGCGAAGTGCCTGCTGCTGAGCTCCCTGGGAATTGTGTTCATCTCAGCAGTGGGTGGGTCTTCTGGCCTGGATCTTCACAGGTACGTAAGCACCCAACGTCCATTGATTTCAGTTGGGGTTAGGTGGCAAAACACCTCGGCCTCTCTGCCTGTTAGATTCCTTTAGGGAAGGCCACTTTTGACCGTCTCCCATGACTTTCAAGTGCAACAGCACTGGATTGGCTAATGAACGGGGGAAACTAGCTGGAAAGAGAAGGGGAAATCAACAGCAAATTGCAGGGGAATCTGGCCAGCTTCCCTGCCCAAGCTGGCCGAAACAAAAAGCAGCATTGAAATGCCATGGTCTCCCACCTCTCTTTGCTTTAACAAGCAGCACACACCGACCTTGCTTTGCAGTGGCCACCGTCCAAAAGCCTGCTAGGTACGTTCCCATGCAGTAATGTCTGAGGGGGAGCTGAACGTCTCTAAGCTTAGCCAAGGGAAATACCTGCCGGATTTGAGAGGCTGCAACACGAGAGCTGTTGTTGTAGGCGAAGCAGTTTTTTCTCTCATCACTTACATATCCGTGAAGCTGGTTTGAGGGTCATTCGTTTTCCATTTTTGGTTGGCTCAGTTTGTCTTTACCTCAGCCTGATGTAGGCTAGTGGGGCTCCTGGAAAAGGAATGTAACGCTCTTCGTTAATGTGAGCTTCCCTAGGGAGACCTGGCTTGTGTGCTGGGGTAATAAGTACTGAACAGTTCCCCTCTGAAGGGGCCTGTGTTCAAGAGACTGGGGTTTTGGGGGTCCCACTTGAGACACCTTGCCTGGGACCTGTTTGAACCTCCACCCCATGAAAATGAGGCGTCTTGCCAAGGGAATCCAATATCACTAGTTGCTGCTGGAAGTGTAGGCAGAAGCCTTCTGTTAATGGTCAGCTTTTGGCTTGAGATGCCACCACTCTTAACAGTGTCAGGTCAACTGGGTACCTTTGCCTCAGAAACGCTGGTAGGCGAGGGCCTGGCATACTATACTTGGGGTTAGGTGACTCTTGCTGGTTAGAGGTGGGAGTGGGGGTTTCTGTGTCAGGACGCGTGTGGAGAAAGGGAACATTTTTCCCAAAGGGGATGTTGGGCGAATATATTCGCAGCACAGCTCCTGGCCAGACGGAGCACTCTGCAGGAGTTGGAACGCCAACGCTGGCTGTTACTGGGATGAAAGCCCTGTCACAAAATGGACTCCTGTTGCCTTTTTCAGGTCTCTAATTTTGGCAGCTCCTCCGGTTCTTGCTCCTGCAGAACTTGCTTTGCAAGGAAAAGGACTAGGAAACTGGGCCCTAAAATGGGAACACTCTGGGCTTAACTGTTCAGGCTTTCTTCTTAGCATCGTCCTCCATTGCAGCGGGAGGGGTGCTACTGGTGGAACAGCCGGGCTACGGTTGCACCGACATTTGAACCAGACTGTTGCCGAGGCACGTGCAGAGATCGACAAGAGAAGGGTGGAAGCGCTTCTGCCATGAGTGTCCAGGCGAAGCTAGCCCTGGCGGAGCTGTGCTGCCCAGACACACACGTGCACTTCTCGTTCCCTCATCAGAGGGGTTGCCTTTTATTTTCTGCCAATGGCTGCCATGGACACTAGGCCGAGGCAGGATCTGACGCATACTACTTCCGGGGGAATTCTGCACCACTGCGCGATGCAGAACGCCATACACATTCATGTGGGATGCGCAGAAATTCCTTTTTTCCCTGACAGGAAAGGGCTGCGGAGACACAGGCTACCGTTTGGGGCTGCTGGACCTGCCAGAACCTGGAGAATTCCCAGCAGCTGCAGTTCCCAGTACGCCCGGAAATGAGGCAGTGGTGAGCAGGAAGCGCCATGCAAGCCCGGGACCCGGCAAGAGGCTGTTTCTTCCTCTGGATCCCTGGGCTCTAGGAGGGAAGTGTTGGGAGTATCAGAGAATCACAGAACACTAGAACTGGAAGGAACCTCGAGAGGTCATCAGGTCCAGTCCCCTGCCCTCACGGCAGGACCAAGAATAGGAACAGTGATTGTTTGGACTGGGGGAGAAGGGAGGGTTAAGAGACATGAGTGTCTGGACTGGGGGGATGTGGCTGGTCTCTCGGGGGAAGGGAAGAGATTCTGGCCCCCAGCTGGGATCTGTGGGAAGGGGGCAAAGCAGTAGGAACTGGGCTGTCACAGGGTTTTCTTTAACTTTCTACTCCTGGGGGGATTTTTGTGTGTGACGGGTGTTTGGAAATAAATTACCGATATGCTCACACGGTGTTATCTTGACAAATAACATTTGCAGAATTTTAAAGTATTGTTTTGGTGCAGAATTCCCCTTGGAGCAACATACTCCCGGGGGCTGTGCATGGCCTCGCCTGTGCGGATAGGATTGCAGAATCAGGAGCAAACGCTCCAAGAGATGGGTTGTCTAAGGCGCTCAGACCCAGCCGCCGCCCCCCCGTTATCAAACTCTCTGAACTGCTGAGCTGAGACGGGGATGGTGAGGTAACCAATGCAGAGCTCAGCCGGGGCTTTCTCATTACACCTCCCATATGAGGAGGCCTGGTAAATATTACCCCTCTGTGTTCACTTGGCTCATGGAACGGTGCCTTGGCCCTTTAAGAAAATCTCTCTTGTGTGTGTCAAAGGAAGGGCCTTTTTTATAGGATCTTACTGTCATTCAGTGGAATTCGCTCTGCAGAATAGGAAACGATGCTTTGAAAAGGGACAGCATTGGGTACAGTATTACCAAGGGTTAACCATCTTGTTTCTGCTCTGCGTCTTTTCTCTCTGTTTATTTCCCCTCAGTCCCGTGTTGATATCTCTTGATAGAGACAGAAACATCTTTAATACTATTACCGCTCCAATGGCATTTCTATTGTTTTCTCCTGGGGTTTTTTTTAATAGGATGTATTTTTGGACAAGATAAAGAAAATGCATCGGATCGCTTAACTGCCATGCTTAAAGAACAACTGGATAAAGCTTGCCCAGTTGAACATTAGGGAGAGATAAGGGCAAAGATTTTCATTACATTGAAGTGGCTCTGAAAATAGGTGTGTGCCTGCCAGGGGCTAGTTTTGAGATGTTAGGTGGCTGGATTGATAGATGAAGGTTGGGGGCTGGCTGGTTAAATAAATGGATGGAGGGATACGTGTGTGTAGATGGTTACATTAGACAGGTAGATTGGATGAATAGATGTTCAGGGGTAAGATAAATGAGAATGGAGAATAATGGGTGTATTAGATGGCTGGTGAGTGGCTAGATGATGTAGAAATAAATAGTTACATGAATCATTGATGAGTAGGTAAGTGAATGGATGGAGTGTGGCAGGGATAAATGCAGGGGGCTTTCTAAGTGGGTACTGATAGATGGCTGGGTGGTTAACTTGTTGGCTAGGGAAGAGGGAAATCAGGGAGTGAGGGAAGAAATGAGGAATTGGAGAATTGATAGATATGGATGAGAGCATGATGGTTAGATAGTAAGATAATTATAGAGGGGCGCTGAGAGAAAGGGCTTTCAGGCAACTGGGATCTCGAAGGACAGTCATTGAACTTGTTCCTGTGGCTGGCAAAGAGCTGTCAAATTTGGTTCTGATGAGGTGTCTGTCTCGAAGAGGCGGGCTGCCCTTTGTAGCCCCGCCCCGCGTCAGTGTGTTCGGTGCCTCTCTGGCTGTGGGCCGCTTTCTTTGGAGCCCAAACATACTAGTCTCATCTCCTCTGGATCCACAAGCGGTGGTCCCCAGTGGAACTCGTGGCTGCTCCAGTTTCCAGCCGTGGCAGGATGCAGGCAGGCTAGGGAATGGAAGAAGGAGCAGAGGGGATATCGGGCTGAAGGTGGAGGGGAGGGGGAAGCACAGGACATCAGTCACAACAGCCTGAGCTATTGATGCTGGGATGAATATCAGCTGGAATAGAGCCATGTGCAACAGGACCAATACGTCTAGATGTGGCTTTGAGTAGCCCTTGTGCTGGGCTCCCGTTAAGGAAAGTGCTTAGGCTTGTGCGTAGTTCCATCCCTATTCAGCAAAGCACTTAAAGCATATGCTGAAGTCCTCTTGACTTGAACCTAAGCACATGCTTAAGTATTTTGCCAAATAGGGACACTTTACCAAATTAAGTCCAAGTTCAGTTTCACCCTTGGCTGGAACCCCTCCATTACTAGAACACCATGTGGAATCCAATACAACAGCTCTGCATGAGTGGAGTCCCAAATAACCCCTCCCCCCCCAGTACAAATTTCTTCAAACTTTATTGATACACTGCACAATCACAACCATCTCTTATTCTTTCTGAATTAGAAAAGGTTACAACTACAATGTAACATGCACAAAATTCAGGTAGTATATTCACCCTTTTTAATACAATTATTGACGGAAAAATCAAGACTTGACTTCATTGCTTTAAGAAATAATAATCAAATTAAAGTAACCCTAGAAGGCTGTCGGAAAAAAAAGTTTGCTTTTTTGTAACAATGTGATTGTTTTTTTTCTTTAAAGCGTTTGAATACAGAAATTATTTATTTTTGTTGTTTTCAGGATAATTGTGAGTAAAATGTGCACAACCATAGCCTTTACACAGCTAATAGAACTGCGCCATTGATAAGTCATAGAATTTTTTAAACCTAGCAAAGAGAAAGGACTCTGAACTGGACAGGTAACGGTTTCATACACCCAACATGTTCCTCACAACTGCACTTTACGTGTCACAAGAAACTTGAATGCTTAAAAAAAAAGTGCTCCCTGTTAGCCATGATAAAGGGAGACCATTCTGTTTAGTTTCCTCTGCCGAAATGAACCAACCACGTGGATCAGAGGGGATTAGGTGAGAGGATTTCCCGTTCGTGGTGCTCACCACCCATGGTTGCTGGAAGAATTCAGTCTGGAAGCCATGGGTTTTGGAGTGCTTAAAGGATCCCTTTAAAGTAACATGAAGATCTGGGCATGCAGTTGCCATCTTCCAAAAAGGTCTGATCAACTCCATTTCACTTAGCTTTGGAGCCAGCATGTTCAATATTTGAAGGACATGATTAAATTTGGCCTTAGTACCAAAGTATTGACTATCTGAAGGGCAATGTGCATTGATTGAATATCACTTGGCCTCTTCCAGAGCATTGACTATGGAAAGGACGGTATCTGTTGGTTGGCTATTTTCTGCAACAGCTTTTAACAGTCATATTTTGTTTTGTTTCTCTCTTGTAGGAAAAGAATAGACTCTTGTTTCCTTTTGAATAGGATTTTTTTTCCATCTTATCATTATTTGGAAATTATTTTCTCTAATCTACCACCAACCTCCGATAAAGGCGTCCTGTGGCTACTTAAACATTCCTCTCTTTGGGGGAGGAGGAAAATTGCACTTGAAGGTTTTTGAAATGAGGGCTGTGCAAAAACTACAGCCCTCTTGCTGTTGGTGGGGAATGAAGAGGGGAGGAAAATCACATTTTTTTGTGCCACCTGAAGGTATTTGTTCAATTTCACCTTGTGGCTGCTGTTTATTTTTTTCCCCAGTTTCCAGAGATAAGAAACCTGTAAATCACTGGTTTTTGTTGTTGTTGTTGCTTTTCCCTTTGATGGGCAAGTTGGCTGCCCAGATCGAGTGGGGGTGGGGAGGAATCTCACTCCTCATCAAGCGCCACTAGGTATTTTCATGCAGCTCCGCTTGGGACAATCTGGAGTGTAACATCTTAGACATTTTCCAGGTGAATCGTCTGCAGCAATTGTGTGTGTGTGTGTGTGTGTGTGTGTGTGTGTGTTTGTTTTAGTGCATGGTTTAATAGTTTTGTTTAAAGTCAGTGTAACACGTCCTGGACCTTTGTACGACTTCGTGTGCTCTGGCTTTCTACACGCCTAACCCATAACGTCTTCCTCACGTGAAACAAGACGGGGCGTCTGGGATACAGAGCTGAGAGCCTAACGCTCCTGCTACCCTGGGAAAATGGGATTTTTTTCCAAAGCATGGGTTCAATTCGCAGGGCACTTGAGATGCTGAAGTGAAAACGTTTTGTCTGCCCTTGCCCAACAGAGCATGGACTTCCGACTTACATTTGTGGCATTTCTCCTGAATACCATGAAAAAAATAGGCTTGCAAACAACCGTGTATCAGGCACTTAACATTTAACCACCAGCACTTCAACTTCGCATGACCTTGGAAGTCACGAAAGGTATGGGTGCCCTAGTGGGCTTTGAAATGTTGTTTTCTTTAGGGTCTTTTATTCCAGGCACTAGATTCCACTTGTACCTCTCTCTTTGTAATGGTTGTGTACGTGTGTGTGACTTGTCAAGTTATTGTCTCTCTGCTGGAAAAGAAGAGCTGTCTCTGTAGGATTGGCAACACATGTTGACCCCTCTGAGAGACCATCTCTTCAGGTTTTCTGCGTCAGCTCTCCTCCTTTGGCCTTAACGGAGTTGTAGCATGATTAGCCACTTAAAACTTGCTGTTGGATGCCATACTTTGACACCTGCTGCAATTTTTTTGGTATTCATACACCTATTACATTTTTCAGTACCATTTTTCAGATTTGAAGGGACTGTAATTTGACACGGGCATTGGATTTCACCTAGTGATCACAGCCTGTAGCCCTACAACGTGTGGTTGAACTAGATCACGCAACTAAAAGATTAGCTATAAATGCGAAGATCCACTGTTTTCATTTTTTACCAACATTCCACCAGTGGAGCCAGAGGTTTAAAATAATAATAATAGTAATAATAATACAGTACCCCTTCGTATGTCTTCAGCAGTGAACAAGGTTCCATGTGAACATGTTGCAGGAGACTTACACAGTCAATGTGCAGCGGCTTCGTTCAGTTTTTCATCCAGATAAAAGAGCGGGAGGGGACCGTGAGATTTCTTGAGAGCAGTAAAACAGCGGTGGTGAAATCCAGACAAGTTGCTCCTTGTTCTCAAATCTTCCCTCTTGCTTGGAAGGAAAAATCAAGGGGAAGGCAAGCATATACATTCAAGACCTCGGTGGTACTGGATATTTTTTGATACGCATTAACTCAAAAGACTACCCCCCTCCATTTTGTGAATATACTGCCTAAATGTTTAAGCCTGTTTAAGTTTTTTTTCCAGACTTTGTTTTAATCGTTCATGTTTTACATTTATTGACAGATCTGAAGAGGCACATCCTTGATCTTCAGGCACATCCTTGATCTTCAGCACATCCTTGATCATCCATGTCCCCGGCACATGGCCGTCAGCAGCTCAGTATGGTAGGTCGTGTGTTTCCTTACTTCCTTACTGCTTTTTTTTTTTTTTTGCTTACTGCATTCAAACTACCGTGCCTGACACCAATAGTAGAACTCGCAGTCAGTCAGATGGTCCCAGTGGTTAAAAAAAGAAAAAACAAAAACAAAAATAAGCAAACCGATCAAGGTCTCCTTTCACTTGCTTCCTGGGTAACAGTGCCTGTGGGATCAGAAACAGCCAAGAGGTTTCTACTAAGAGCCACTTGATTCACTGTAGTGATCCATGTCTTGCTGCACAGCCCAATCAGGTCTGGGGTGTTGATTGAAATCATTCCCACGTAGGTCACCGTTTGGTCTGGGAATGCTGCAGCCTTCTAGCCCTGTCAGGCCTTCTTGGGAACGCACAGAGTTAGCAGTTTTTGTTTTTGTTTTTAATTAAAGAAATACATTCAAAGACATTGAAGCAATATAGATTCCTCCCTTACCGCCTTTAGGCTTCCGAGAAAGTGCTCATTCAAGTAAGGCCTAAACCTAACCAAGGAACATGGGGAAGCATCAATCAAAACTCAAAATAAACCTCCACAGTTTGAAAAATAAAAGCTCTGCTCCATTTTGGAAACAGCTGTCCCTCTGTAGAAGGCTTCTGCAAAGGCAGCTGAGAAACGGGAAACCATGCAAATGAAGGTTTGTGGGAGGATTTTTTCTCTTCCCTTCCTCTTTCCCATCTGTTTTCAGTGTTGAGTTAATCAAGTGCCTGGAAATTAAGTCAGTTATTCAAGTACCCTCTGCTCATAAGAGGTTCCCAAACAAATACAAGAGTGATGTCAACACACTAGCAAAATAATTGGCCTCCGCCGGCTTCTGACTAGATGGATTCCTAACGGATCAAATGAGAATCAGCGCTGGGAAAGGAAGTGAGCAGAGAAGCGTTGATCAAATAATCGCCACATAGAGTCTGGCTCTCCGGAGGTGGGGTGCTGACCTAGTTGGAATTGCCATCATTAATGGCGAATTAGAAAAACTGGATGCATCCCCATTGGAAACAGCAGTGCAAGCACCTGTTAGCAGATATAAAACATTGGTCCTTAAAGGCAAAAGATCATAACAGCACGGTTTGGGGTGGACAGAGCGGTGTTGGGGTGTTGCTTACTTTGTATTTTGGGGACATAGGAGAAAACAGATGTCGGACTATTTGGGCTGTGGGGGGAGAGGAGTTTAGCTATGTGAAGGGTGCTTTGAATTTGCCAGTGTCAGAGACATGCTCAAACAGCCAAATCCTGCTTAGCTTTAGAGCCAGTGGTTATGTTCTGCCACACACCTAAATGTAACACTGTGAAATTTCTCAATATCCGCCACCGTAACAGGTGGGTGAACAGACAAAACAGGAAGAAAACTAAACGGATGGAGGGAGCAGGATAGAAACTTGGCTAGATAAATAGGAGGCTCAATAGAGATGATTAGGCTGATGGATGGATGGAGAGCAGAAGAAGGAGAGATTTGGATAGAAGCACAGATAATTACATTGATAGATTGATAAATACAGTCAAGAGATGGTGAGAGGAAAAGCCAGATGGATAGCTAATTAGATGGATCGGTGAATAGGATAGATGGATGGATAGAATGGCTCTGTGATTACTTTGCTGGATGGGGAGATGGATGACTCATCATTTTGTCTATTTATTTGTTTGCGTTAGCCACTCAGCCATCCGTTTTAGCGCAAGGGGAGAACAGCGCCCCCTAGCTTTTCCCTTTCTCCACGCCAAGGGATCTTGAATCCTTTGTCTGTACCCAAATGCACTATGGCCAGAGCCTCACTGCAGCTGCTGCCGAAGGCCCAGATGAGGTGGGAGGACGGCGTGGGATTTATTACTCCAGCCATCCAGAGGGACGCCAGGGGAAACCCAAGTGTGACAGGACACTGAGAAACATGAACAGGTATGTACAGTGCAACGAGGAGAAAGAACAATCCGTTTGCTTAAGCGACACCGAGATAATAGGACACTTGGACTCATTTTGACTTCCACTGTGTGTCGTCTCTCAAGCCAAGACCCGTCTCCTGGGGTAGGTGGAACAGGCGCGGCCGAGAAACGCGTAACGTTGGGACAGGGTTATAAATAGGGTTGAGGGCGGGGCCGGGGCAGAAGAAATTGATTAGCTTTGGGAAACGCCCGTGACTTATCCCCCTAACCGGCAGTCGGAACCCTTTGCCCCTCCCCCCCGGCAGTCCGTTCAAGCGGTAAAACTGTTTTTTGCCCCCGCAGTGTAGAGAGTAAAGTCTGTGGTGTGGGAGAAGCCAGGCGTCGCCTCCGAGGACCCTCTGCTTTCTTATCAAAACTTGATGAGGAGGTGAGCGAAGAGGGTGCCCGATAGCCAGAGGCAGGCCATTGCTCGGGACGCTGAGTTGCTGCCGTCGTGCACTGCTCCGGGGCCTGGATGGGTTAGAGAGAGAGAGAAAGGCTTGTTATTGCCGGGGGAGGGAGAAGAGAATCAGCCTGTCCGTTGACTTCTAGGAGAGATGGCTCCCAGAGCAAAGCCCCGGACTGTGGAGAAGTCTAGAGCTGAGCTTCATGCCTCAGTCGTACCACAGCTAATGGTCTTTCCTCCCGGCCTTTGTCCAAAGCTGAAGTTTCCTTCTCTCACTCATCGCGTGTAGCCCCATTCAGCCACGGATGAGGGGAGCCTCAAACATTCCCATCAGCCCATGAACCACTGCTGAGGGGAAAAGAGTCAGCCAGCCCCTCCATCCTCCACCTGCTCAGCTCCCCAAACACCACGCTGGGCCGCCCTTCAGGTCCGTGTGGCACCATTTGAGAACCTGTTTGTACAGGTGGAACCTCCCTAGTCCGGCACCCTCAGGACCTTACTGGTGCCGAGCCAAAGAATTTTCTGGACCACAGGAGGTCAGTATTGTCTAGCAGCATCGCCAACACTTCCACTGCGTGCTGGGCTCTTAGAAGACATTAAGAGGTCAGTCAGAGCTGAAGAACAGCCCAGAACCCTGAGAGTCAGGACTGGTGGCAGTAAACTAACTTTATGGGACTGTGAGAAGCTTGTCCACGCCCATGGTAAGTGGACATCCTGCCACTAACGTCATGCCGGACCACAGATGCTGCCGGACCAGAGAGTGTTCAACCTGTAACTAGGCGGAATGAGCAATCTCCATCCTTGAGCTACCTCTGCCACTGGATCCTGTGCCTGCCTAGACAGATCCCTCATCCTCCATGTGACTCTCTTGTATTCCACCTTATTCTCCATAGGTTCTTACACTGAGCTTTTCAGGGACTCCAAAACTGTAGTGGCTCTGTCTTGATTAGGAAAAAATGTAAGGAAAAGTAAAACCAGCGAGTCCATTCCACCTCCCCATGTGCCATACAGCCCTTGCGTCCTAATTAGGGGCGCCCACATCCAATGCAAAGGTACCCAAGGGGAATGGGCACCCAAAGCCCAACGAAATGCTTTCCCTTTGGGCTACTTCTGGAAATCCCAGAGGGAACCTTTACTGGGGATGTAAGTGACTAATCGACTTATCGGATAGTCGACTAGTCCAGTGTTTCTCAACCAGTGGTATGAGTACTCTTAGGGGTGAGAAGTCGGGGGTACGTCAACACAACTGAAATTTTGAGAAAACTGAATTTTAGTTTTAAGTTTTACAGTTTTATTATTTTTGTACTTTTTACACCCAAAAATTTCATCACCCACCTGACTATGATTAAGTTGTTTAAATAAATGTGTTGCAATGGTAGAAAAAAATGTTGTGTGTCTGAAAACTGTTGGTACTGGGGGGTCTTACTAATTTTTTTGGAAAAGGGGGCACTTATATATATTTTGTAAAAGGGATCCTTTAAAAAAAAAAAAAGGGTTGAGAAAGACTGGACTAGTCCCTAGATGACTCCCAGGCCAGGAGCTAATCCCCTGCTTATCGACTAGTCGATGGAAAATCTATTGACTAGCTGATTAGTTGATTACATTAAATTTAACATCCCTAATCTTTACTCAGGACTTAACTGGGCTAAGTTGTCAGGGAAGTTAAAATGGGACGGTCATTCATAATGCGATCAGAAAAACGCATTGCCATTGGAGACCCTGTCAACCACAAATCAAAATAGCCCCTTTGCTTTTGCATCAGACTTTTCCTCTTGAGGAAATGACCAACAGACGTCCTTTTCCTTTCAGGGAATTTGAGTTCTCAGGAAACAGGGCCTTCCTTAGGTTGCATGGGGCCTTACACAGTACTGATAAACTGGTGTCCCTATGCCCGATGGCAGCCGGGAGTTCGGGGAGAATGATGGGTTTTAGAGATGACATTTGAGAATCTTCAGCAACATGCTAGTGAAATATTGTAAAGCAAATGTTAAACGAAGGTCGACTCACACGGTAAATTCAGAAACTGACACTATGTACCTGCGGTTGGCACGTGCCTGTTAAACGGCTTCGTTATCACTTGAATGGCTCGTTCACAGAGTCCGTGTTTTGCTAATTGTAACAAACTGTTTTGCTGTTAAGATAACTAGATCCTCTCCGGAGAGAGCAGAGCCACGGAGCCGGCTAGGAAGAGGCGGGTGGGTGGACATTAAGACCCAGTGGTGCCCCAGATTTTCAGATGCCTTAGGCAACTGTGTATTCTGCGTGTGAGTTGGCACATCTCTGTCAGGAAAGGGTCTGGCCTATTTAAGTACTGGCTGGGGGGCCAGGAGAGGTGCAGGCCTGGTTGCGCAGGAGGCAGAAGTCTCCTGTTTGTCCCCAAAGAGCATGTGACTCAAGCTTCCCCCACGAGCTCCCTCGCACCTTCATCTTGAATCAGAATGGGCAGGAGCCAGTGGTCCAGTTCCACGCGTAGCTCCCTTGCTGTGCTCACAAGGGACAGGTGCTACAGCCGTGCACACATGAACTGTGACCTGTAGCTCATTTCATGTAGTCCTCCTAGTCGTTCCTAGGGTTGTCAGGTGTCCGGTATTCACCTGGTCAGTCCATTATTTTCAGCTCCTGTCCAGTAAAAAAATTCAGAGAATACCAGACACGTAAAATAAGGGCCTGACTAGGGTTGCCAGGTGTCCAGTATTCACCTGGACAGTCCAGTATTTTTGCCCCCTTTCCAGTAAAAAAATTCAGAGAATACCGGACACCTAAAATGTCCAGTATCTTCTGATTCCCCCCCCAGCAAGGAGGTGAAAATGCCAGGTACTTGGCAACCCTACAAACACTCAGTGCCTGGCTTCCGCCCCTCTGGGCTCCCAACACCCCCAGCCCCCATGCTTACCTGTTCCCCAAGGCTGCCAGGCAAAAGACCTAAGGGAAGCAATGCTTTCCCCTGGGTCTTAGTGCTCAACCGCTCCTATCCCTGCACTCGCTTTTAAAGGGGACATGCTGTTTTAATGCTGTTTTATTTTATTTTTATTTTTTTTGGTTTAATAAGTCCTTGGAGTCTTTGACGCAAAGGACAGTGTAGACGCAAGAACGCCTTCTATTGAGAGAACTCTGGCGACCAAAGGCGTTATTCCTCGTAGAATGAGGTTTGCCGCCGTCAACAACACTGCCGAGTTCTGTCGACGTTATGTCAACAGAACTCGGCGGGAGTGTAGATGCAAGTAGAGATTTGTCGACAAAACCCTGTAGTCTAGCCACACCCCCAGAGCTGTGGAAAGAGAGCTGGTGTAGAGACTGCAGCTGGAGGTGTTGCGGTCAGTCTGTGGGGTTGAGATAGGGATGCAAAATCCCCGTGAATCAGTTAAGTGGTTAACCCGGCTTCTGCTCCTCATTCACATCCCTGGTGTGAGGCGCACCACCATGGATCTGCCTCCATTTTTCGGCATGTCTGAAAAAGCCAAACCCTGCAGCCTGTGGGGCTTTGCAAGCTAGCAGAAACCCTGCTGCATCCCTGTGGGTGCTTTCTCCAGAGCATTGTACCGTCTGGCCCCGCCCCACCCCAGCAAAACTCCATAGACCGCTCGGCCCTACGAGCAGCATTTTACAGCATTTCTAAAGGCTGTGGCTTTAGGCTAGATCCTGAGCAGAAAGAAACTTTCTCAGCGGAATTGCAAGCCACTAACGATGCCGGGAAAGCACTGTGCTGCTGGATTAATTAATCACATTTTTATAGGAACCCTGATTGACTGGAGCCCCAGAAAAGAAAGCAGCTGTGCTTAACTCCTCCCATCTGGAGCGCTTTGTGCTGTAAGTGCTCTTAAATGCTCTGCCCTCATGTAGCTCTGTTCTCTAGTGGGCTCTCGTCCCCACCCTCCCCGCACGTGAAAAGCCAGTTCTCGGCTGTTATTTAACTAGCCTAATGGCACTCGCCTAATTAAAAATTGATATCTACCAAGGCACATGGGCAGACTGCAAACCGACAACTCCCACAAGCAGCCGCCGATCGTGTGAGTGTCCTTCCTCTTCATTCCGGGGATATTGTCGGTAACGATACATCGATTGTACTTTCTCCCTTTGAATTTCAGAGTTGGGCTGTTTACTTGAGAGGTCAAAGGTCAAATCCCCTTTCAGCCAGCAGATGGGATTCAAACCAGCAGTCCCATGGGATGTTCCCAAACAACCAGTCTGCAGGGGGCTCTTGCTTGTTTCTCCCTTTCGGGCTAACGAAGATGTAATGAAAGTGGAACAGCTTTAACAGGCAAGAGAGATGGACCCCCCCCCCATCGTGGTGCCAAGGTTAGGTGTAAACCTGGGCTGCAGGATATGCCTGTTCAAACCTGTGTTTAGTGGGCTGAGAGGGAACTTGTAGCCACATCTCCGGCCACCCACGTGAGTATCCGAACCTTTGGAGTAGACAGGGAGTAGACAGGCCCTTCTGTAACGGCCTTTTCCCCCTAGACTGGGTGAAATTGAAACAGAATCTCTCACATCCCAGGTGAGGGTGTTAACCCCTGGGCTAAAGGTGACATAAGAGTCCTCCAACTCCTTCCCCTCTGCCCTCAGCCGTGGTGTGAGGTGTTAGGCAGTAGGGCGGTAAAATCCTGTTTAATCCGTTAACTAGTTATACGTTATGTTTAACCGGCTAACCCCTTAAAGAGGGGCTCTGTGGTGTGGCGGGCTGCTCTGGCCAGGCCAGGCCCACCTCAGGGAGGGGTTGCTCCAGCCAGGCCCCCCACACCGCGGGCAGGCAGGGAGCTGGTCTCGCCCAGCCGGGCTGCCCGTTAACTGTAACCAGTAAGAATCACCCAGTAAGGGCGATGCTTCCCCGTTAACCATTCGCATGCCTATTAGGTAGCTGCCTCACAAGAAACCCAATTCACCTCATGCCAGGAGAGGGGATTCCTGGCAGTGGATCTCAGGCAAAGAGAGATGCAGAAGTCCCTGAAGGAGGAAAGATTGGGCGGTTCCCTGCCGGCCTGTATGGATCCCGTTCTCAAGCACCCGTCTCTCCCCGTTCATTGACGAGGGAGCTGAAGGGTGCAGCTTAGGCTTTGGTATCTCCTTA